ACAACAACAACAACAACAACAACCGCCATTCGCCACTAAGTGGCGGTGACGTCACCACGATGCTTGTGCCAGGCCAAGTGCACCTTGAGGCCACGTGAAGTGTCGAAAGCCCGCTGGCAGGAGGTCACGGGGCAGACCCAGCAGGTGCCACGGGTCGACTGACCGAGATGACCGAGATGACTGGCTGATGCACCACCTGTGCCCCCTACTGTGCCAACTTGCTGTGCTTTAGCCACCCGGCGCTCCGCTCGTTGTTGTGAGCGTCGCTCCTCCGCCCTCCGTTGTTGTTGGAGGGCGACTGCCTCCAACTGCCCAGTAGCGTCCTTCACGAGCCTCCTCCACTGAGGCCGATCTTGACACCGCTGGTACCAGTCATCGGCAAGTCCACTCAGCTCCACGTCCTCCTGTACCACATCACTCCATCTCTTCTCCAGCCCGTGCCGCGCCCGTCTAGCCCCCTCGATCCGGCCGAACAAAAGCTGTTTAGGCATGCGGTGGCTGGGCATGCGGGCTACATGACCCAGCCAACGCAGCCTTGCCTGCCGGAGGAGCTCACTGATGGGACTTTGCCCAGATCTTTCAAGGATTTGTGAGCTCCTCACACAATCCAGCCTGGTTAAACCCAGGATGGATCGTAGGCAGGCCAGCCTAAATGTTTCCAACCGGCGAAGATGCTCCACCAGGGGGGTCCACGTCTCGCAAGCGTAGAGAAGGGAGGGAATGACCGTGGCCGAGAAGACCTGAAGCTTCGTGCGGAGCGACAGACCAGGTAGCTTCCACACAGCGTTACGCAACCGATGAAAAGATATTGCCGCTCGACTGATTCGGAGTGAGACCTCTGCTGATAGACTGGAGCCGGTCATAAGCACACTGCCCAGGTATGGGAAACTCTCCACTCTCTCCACAACTGCCCCATCACCAATTGGGAGTTGTGGGGGTGGAGTGTCCGATGGTACAAAATACCCAGGCAGGTGCTTGGTTTTGGTGGGGCTGATGGTAAGGCCCCACCTCTTAGTGGCACGCTCCAGTCTCAGCAGCAGCGTCTCCAACTCCTCTTCTGAATGAGCAGCTATTACCAAATCATCGGCATACATAACGTGGTTGACCAATAGGGAGCCATCCCTTGATCGCACCCGGGCGTCGATCAGCCTCCCATTATATCTGTACCAAACGGAAATTCCCCCGGTACAGCTATTGAAGGCTTCACGAACTACGCGGTCAAAATAGATGTTAAATAATGTGGGAGCCAGAGGACATCCCTGTCGCACCCCAAGGTGTACAGGGAAAGGCTCCGACTCCCGGCCACGTAGTTTTACCCGGGCCCGCTCACCATCATGAAGGTCCTTAATGATCGTGAGCAGAGGGTCAGGGACTCCGAAAGCACGAAGAACAACCCAGAGCCCAGTCCTACTGATGGTATCATAGGCCTTGACCAGGTCAATAAAGCAGAGATGTAGGTCTTTTTGGAATTCCCTACACCTCTGCTGTAGCAGACGGACAGAAAATATGGCATCTGTGCAGGACCGCCCTTTCCTGAAACCGCATTGGGGCTCCGCAAGCCCCTCCTCAGCGTGCCTAGCAAGGCGATGTTGAATAATCCTTGCCAGGACCTTACCCGGCACACTGAGGAGTGAGATGCCCCTGTAGTTGTTACAGTCGGTACGGTCCCCCTTCTTAAAGAGGGGGACCACCAGGGCATCCTTCCAGTCCTGCGGAACCCGTCCAGTGGTCCAGACTGTTGTTATGATGTCATATAGGGCAGTCTGTGCACAAACGCCACCCTCCCTCAGCATTTCGCTTGGGAGATCATCTCTGCCCGGTGCCTTCCCTGGTCTCAGACTCCTGGATCGCCCTCAGTACTTCCTCAACAGCTGGCACCTCAGCCAGCCACTCACAGGGGGTGACCTCTTCCAATATTTGAGGCACCGCAGCCTCAGCAGGGTTATCACCACTTTGTGCCATGATGTTTTCCTGGCTGAGAGAATTTCCCTCCCCCAGGACCTCACAGAAATGCTCAGCAAATCTGCAAACCTGTTCCTGGGGGTCGGAGATTGGATCACCGTTTTTTCCTCTAATGATGGTAATAGGTGTGGCGCTGCAGGTTACTTTTTTGATGGAGTTAAATAGTGATTTGTGATCACGGGCCACTGAGGCAGACTCCATCTCCTCAGCAACCCGCGACCACCACCCATCCTTACAGCGCCTTACGGCTCTCCGAACTTCTGAGCGAAGGCTGCGGTAAACCTCCTCATTCTCTGACGTGGGATGCTGTAGGCGATGAGAGTGGGCCTGTCGCTTTTTCTCAATTAACCTGAACACCTCCTCTGTCAGCCAGGGTTTCTGGGGAGGTCTGGACCGCGTACCCAAAGCAGCCATTGCAACTGCATGAGTCAGAGTCCTTAAACCCCATTTCCCCTCGACATCAGGAGGAGTGGGGGACGATGCCAACCCCAGCCGCAAGCGATGATGAAATTCTCGCTTGCAACTTTGATCAGCTAACTGAGACCAGGCCACTTTTGGTTGGAATGGGATCCTGGGTGTACACCCACCACCGGAGTGGAAGAATGGCAGGCGCATCTTACAGATGACTAGTCGATGGTCAGAGGACAGATCAGCTCCACGGTAGGTCCTGGTGTCAAGGACATGGGCTCGCATCCGCTGGTCCGTCACTATGTAGTCCAGCAGATGTTCTTGCTTGGACCCGGCATGTATCCATGATGTTGTGTGGATGCGCCGATGCCGGAAGAGCGTGTTGGTAATTACAAGCCCATGGGCTGCACAAAAATCTAGCAGCCTCCTACCGTTATTATTGAGCTGATCTGGCCCATGCCTTCCAATCACTCCAGACCAGGTGTCAGCATCATGACCAACTCGGGCATTGAAGTCACCCAACAAGATGACTCTGTCCCGAGTGGCCACTTTAGCCAGCACCTGTGACAGGAGGTCATAGAAAGCGTCTGACTCATCGGCTTTGCCTGCATCCCTCCACGGATGTTCGTCTTCGGTGGGGGCATAAGTAACCACGACCACCACTCCTCGCCTCTGGTTGATGGGAAGGCGAGCCCAAAGTATCCTGGGGCTTACAGCTTCCCACACCTCACCGCCACGCTCCCACGCCCCCTTCATTCTTTTGTTCAGAAGAAGAGCCACACCCTGTTGTTTGGCAGTCTCCTGCCCCGAGTAGAGGACTGTCCACCCCTCATGGTGGCAGGAGCCAGAACCGGTCCACCGGACCTCCTGAATGCCACAGAGATCCAGGCGGTACCGGTCCAGCTCCCGACAGAGAAGTGGCAGCCTCTCCTCCGCAGTGAGCGTTCGAACATTCCACGTGGCCATCCACACACACACAGACACACACACACACACAGACACACACACACACACACAGACACACACACACAGACACACACACACACAGACAGACACACACACAGACAGACAGACACACACACACAGACACACACACAGATAGACATGTCAGTCAGTAAGTCAGTCACTCAGTTAGTCACTCAGTCAGTCTCTCAGTCAGTCACTCACACAGTCACTTAGTCACGCAGTTAGTTACTCAGTTAGTCACTCAGTCACTCACACACTCACTTAGTCAGTCACTCAGTCAGTCACTCACTCACTCACTCACCCACTCAATCACACACTCACTCAGTCACTCAGTCACTCAGTCACTCAGTCACTCAGTCAGTCACTCAGTCACTCACTCACTCAGTCACTCAGTCAGTCACTCACTCACTCACTCACCCACTCACTCACACAGTCAGCCACTCACTCAGTCACTCAGTCACCCACTCACTCACACACTCACTCAGTCAGTCACTCAGTCACTCACTCACTCACACACTCAGTCAGTCACTCAATTACACACTCACCCACCCACTCACTCAGTCAATCATGATGATGATGCTACTTCTACTGCCGCTACTGATGATGCTGATTATGCTGCTGATGATGATGCTACTGATGCTGATGATGCTGCTGCTGATAATGATGACACGGATGCTGCTGCTGATACTGCTGATACTGATGATACTGCTGCTGATGATGATGCTGATGATGCTGACGATGATGCTGCTGATGATGACACTGATACTGACGATGCTGATGATGATGATGGCACTGATGATGATGCTGATGATGATGATGCTGCTGATGATGATGACGATGATGATGTTGACACTGATGATGATGACACTGACACTGACACTGCTGATGATGACACTGACGATGACGATGATGACGATGACACCGATGATGATGATGACGATGATGACACTGGCACTGATGATGATGCTGATGATGATGCTGCTGCTGATGATGATGACGATGATGATGTTGACACTGATGATGATGACACTGACACTGACACTGCTGATGATGACACTGACGATGACGATGATGACGATGACACCGATGATGATGATGACGATGACGATGATGACGATGACACCGATGATGATGATGACGATGACGACGATGACGATGACACTGATGATGATGATGACGATGACGATGATGACGATGACACCGATGATGATGATGACGATGACGACGATGATGATGATGACGATGACGACGATGACGATGACACTGATGATGATGATGACGATGACGATGATGACGATGACACCGATGATGATGATGACGATGACGACGATGATGATGATGACGATGACGATGATGACGATGACACCGATGATGATGATGACGATGACGACGATGACGATGACACTGATGATGATGATGACGATGACGACGATGACGATGACGATGATGACGATGACACCGATGATGATGATGACGATGACGATGACGACGATGACACTGATGATGATGATGACGATGACACCGATGATGATGACGACGACGACGACGATGACACAGATGATGATGATGACGATGACGATGACGACGATGACACAGATGATGATGACACCGATGACAATGACGACACAGATGACGATGACACCGATGACGATGACGACGATGACACCGATGATGATGATGATGATGACGATGACGACACAGATGACGATGACACAGATGATGATGACGACGATGACACCGATGATGATGATGACGATGACGATGATGATGATGACACAGATGATGATGACGACGATGACACAGATGATGATGATGACGATGACGATGATGATGATGACACAGATGATGATGATGACACAGATGATGATGACACAGATGATGATGATGACGATGACGACGATGATGACACTGACACTGACACTGCTGATGATGACACTGATGATGACACTGCTGATGATGATGACACTGACACTGCTGATGATGATGCTGATGACGATGACGACGACCTCCCACCTCGGCGTCGCCGCCCCTCTGACTCTCCTCTCCGCCCTCCAGCTGCTGCTGATGATGACACTGATGATGACACTGCTGATGATGATGACACTGACACTGACACTGCTGATGATGATGCTGATGACGATGACGACGACCTCCCACCTCGGCGTCGCCGCTCTTCTGAGTCTCCTCTCCGACCTCCAGCGGCGTCACGAAGTTGCACACCGGGTTCCTCTGCCGCGTCACGTCTGACAAAGACAAAGAGACCCCCAGGTAGCCTCCAGCAGCAGCAGGGGCAAGTGCTGTCAGTAGCAGCAGCAGTAGCAGCAGCAGGGGCAAGTGCTGTCAGTAGCAGCAATAGCGCCCATAGACACAAAGCTCCCCCAGGTAGCCTCTAGCTGGAGTAGGGGCAAGTGCTGTCAGTAGCAGCAGCATCGCCCATAGACACAAAGATCCCCCAGGTAGCCTCTAGCAGCAGCAGGGGCAAGTGCTGTGAGTGGCAGCAGCAGCGCCTATAGAGACAAAGCTCCCCCAGGTAGCCTCTAGCTGTAGCAGGGGCAAGTGCTGTTAGTTGCTCTGCCGCGTCACATCTGCCAAAGACAAAGAGCCCCCAGGTAGCCTCCAGCTGTGCAGCAGGGGCAAGTGCTGGGAGTAGCAGCAGCAGGGGCAAGTGCTGTTAGTTGCTCTGCCTATAGACACAAAGACAAAGAGCCCCCAGGTAGCCTCTAGCTGTAGTAGGGGCAAGTGCTGTCAGTAGCAGCAGCAGCAGCAGTAGCAGTAGCGCCTATAGACACAAAGACAAAGAGCCCCCAGGTAGCCTCTAGCAGTAGCAGGGGCAAGTGCTGTGAGTAGCAGCAGCAGCATCGCCCATAGGCACAAAAAAAAGAGCCCCCAGGTAGCCTCTAGCAGCAGTAGGGGCAAGTGCTGTGACTAGCAGGAGCAGCAGCGCCCATAGACACAAAGATCCCCCAGGTAGCCTCTAGCAGCAGTAGGGGCAAGTGCTGTTAGCGAGCGCCTTGCTAACCGCTACACTACCACAGACACACACAGACACACACACAGACACACACACACACACAGACACACACACACACACACAGACACACACAGACACACACACACACACACAGACACACACACACACAGACACACACACACACAGACACACACACACACACAGACACACACACACACAGACACACACACACACAGACACACAGACAACAACAACAACCGCCATTCGCCACTAAGTGGCGGTGACGTCACCACGATGCTTGTGCCAGGCCAAGTGCACCTTGAGGCCACGTGAAGTGTCGAACGCCCGCTGGCAGGAGGTCACGGGGCAGACCCAGCAGGTGCCACGGGTCGACTGACCGAGATGACCGAGATGACTGGCTGATGCACCACCTGTGCCCCCTACTGTACCAACTTGCTGTGCTTTAGCCACCCGGCGCTCCGCTCGTTGTTGTGAGCGTCGCTCCTCCGCCCTCCGTTGTTGTTGGAGGGCGACTGCCTCCAACTGCCCAGTAGCGTCCTTCACGAGCCTCCTCCACTGAGGCCGATCTTGACACCGCTGGTACCAGTCATCGGCAAGTCCACTCAGCTCCACGTCCTCCTGTACCACATCACTCCATCTCTTCTCCAGCCCGTGCCGCGCCCGTCTAGCCCCCTCGATCCGGCCGAACAAAAGCTGTTTAGGCATGCGGTGGCTGGGCATGCGGGCTACATGACCCAGCCAACGCAGCCTTGCCTGCCGGAGGAGCTCACTGATGGGACTTTGCCCAGATCTTTCAAGGATTTGTGAGCTCCTCACACAATCCAGCCTGGTTAAACCCAGGATGGATCGTAGGCAGGCCAGCCTAAATGTTTCCAACCGGCGAAGATGCTCCACTAGGGGGGTCCACGTTTCGCAAGCGTAGAGAAGGGAGGGAATGACCGTGGCCGAGAAGACCTGAAGCTTCGTGCGGAGCGACAGACCAGGTAGCTTCCACACAGCGTTACGCAACCGATGAAAAGATATTGCCGCTCGACTGATTCGGAGTGAGACCTCTGCTGATAAACTGGAGCCGGTCATAAGCACACTGCCCAGGTATGGGAAACTCTCCACTCTCTCCACAACTGCCCCATCACCAATTGGGAGTTGTGGGGGTGGAGTGTCCGATGGTACAAAATACCCAGGCAGGTGCTTAGTTTTGGTGGGGCTGATGGTAAGGCCCCACCTCTTAGTGGCACGCTCCAGTCTCAGCAGCAGCGTCTCCAACTCCTCTTCTGAATGAGCAGCTATTACCAAATCATCGGCATACATAACGTGGTTGACCAATAGGGAGCCATCCCTTGATCGCACCCGGGCATCGATCAGCCTCCCATTATATCTGTACCAAATGGAAATTCCCCCGGTACAGCTATTGAAGGCTTCACGAACTACGCGGTCAAAATAGATGTTAAATAATGTGGGAGCCAGAGGACATCCCTGTCGCACCCCAAGGTGTACAGGGAAAGGCTCCGACTCCCGGCCACGTAGTTTTACCCGGGCCCGCTCACCATCATGAAGGTCCTTAATGATCGTGAGCAGAGGGTCAGGGACTCCGAAAGCACGAAGAACAACCCAGAGCCCAGTCCTACTGATGGTATCATAGGCCTTGACCAGGTCAATAAAGCAGAGATGTAGGTCTTTTTGGAATTCCCTACACCTCTGCTGTAGCAGACGGACAGAAAATATGGCATCTGTGCAGGACCGCCCTTTCCTGAAACCGCATTGGGGCTCCGCAAGCCTCTCCTCAGCGTGCCTAGCAAGGCGATGTTGAATAATCCTTGCCAGGACCTTACCGGGCACACTGAGGAGTGAGATGCCCCTGTAGTTGTTACAGTCGGTACGGTCCCCCTTCTTAAAGAGGGGGACCACCAGGGTATCCTTCCAGTCCTGCGGAACCCGTCCAGTGGTCCAGACTGTTGTTATGATGTCATATAGGGCAGTCTGTGCACAAACGCCACCCTTCCTCAGCATTTCGCTTGGGAGATCATCTCTGCCCGGTGCCTTCCCTGGTCTCAGACTCCGGATCGCCCTCAGTACTTCCTCAACAGCTGGCACCTCAGCCAGCCACTCACAGGGGGTGACCTCTTCCAATATTTGAGGCACCGCAGCCTCAGCAGGGTTATCATCACTTTGTGCCATGATGTTTTCCTGGCTGAGAGAATTTCCCTCCCCCAGGACCTCACAGAAATGCTCAGCAAATCTGCAAACCTGTTCCTGGGGGTCGGAGATTGGATCACCGTTTTTTCCTCTAATGATGGTAATAGGTGTGGCGCTGCAGGTTACTTTTTTGATGGAGTTAAATAGTGATTTGTGATCACGGGCCACTGAGGCAGACTCCATCTCCTCAGCAACCCGCGACCACCACCCATCCTTACAGCGCCTTACGGCTCTCCGAACCTCCGAGCGAAGGCTGCGGTAAGCCTCAACATTCTCTGACGTGGGATGCTGTAGCCGATGAGAGTGGGCCTGTCGCTTTTTCTCAACTAACCTGAATACCTCTTCTGTCAGCCAGGGTTTCTGGGGAGGTCTGGACCATGTACCCAAAGCAGCCATTGCAGCTGCATGAGTCACAGTCTAAAACCTCGCCCATTTACCCTCGACATCAGGTGGAGTGGGGGGCGATGCCAACCCCAGCTGCAAGCGATGATGAAATTCTCGCTTGCAACTTTCATCAGCTAACTGAGACCAGGCCACTTTTGGTTGGAATGGGATTCTGGGTGTACACCCACCACCGGAGTGGAAGAAAGGCAGGCGCATCTTACAGATGACTAGTCGATGGTCAGAGGGCAGATCAGCTCCACGGTAGGTCCTGGTGTCAAGGACATGGGCTCGCATTTGCTGGTCCGTCACTATGTAGTCCAGCAGATGCTCTTGCTTGGACCCGGCATGTATCCATGATGTTGTGTGGATGCGCCGATGCCGGAAGAGCGTGTTAGTAATTACAAGCCCATGGGCTGCACAAAAATCTAGCAGCCTCCTACCGTTATTATTGAGCTGATCTGGCCCATGCCTTCCAATCACTCCAGACCAGGTGTCAGCATCATGACCAACTCGGGCATTGAAGTCACCCAACAAGATGACTCTGTCCCGAGTGGCCACTTTAGCCAGCACCTGTGACAGGAGGTCATAGAAAGCGTCTGACTCATCGGCTTTGCCTGCATCCCTCCACGGATGTTCGTCTTCGGTGGGGGCATAAGTAACCACGACCACCACTCCTCGCCTCCGGTTGATGGGAAGGCGAGCCCAAAGTATCCTGGGGCTTACAGCTTCCCACACCTCACCGCCACGCTCCCACGCCCCCTTCATTCTTTTGTTCAGAAGAAGAGCCACACCCTGTTGTTTGGCAGTCTCCTGCCCCGAGTAGAGGACTGTCCACCCCTCATGGTGGCAGGAGCCAGAGCCGGTCCACCGGACCTCCTGAATGCCACAGAGATCCAGGCGGTACCGGTCCAGCTCCCGACAGAGGAGTGGCAGCCTCTCCTCCGCAGTGAGCGTTCGAACATTCCACGTGGCCATCCGCAATGGTTTTTTGTTGTTTCTGGAGGAGCCCCGAGTGTGAAGATTCAATCTCCTGGCTCCACCAAATGAGGTTTGGCCAGGAGACGTCATAAAAGCCTGACCCCCCGGGGCCTCCGGCACAAGCTTATTAGTTACCGGTTTATGTTTAGTTCAAAGTTTACTGGTGGTTAATTGAAGGTGGAGGGGTTACCAGCCCCTCGCACCCGTCCAGAGCCCCCGTTTAGCCGCTGTGGTGGTCACACACAGACACACACAGACACACACACGCACTGTACACACACTACACCCACTGTAATACGCACGCGTGTGTACAGTGTGTGGGTGTGTACAGTGTGTACAGTGTTCGTGTGTACAGTGAACAGTGTGTACAGTGTTCGTGTGTACAGTGTGTACAGTGTTCGTGTGTGCAGTGTGAACAGTGTGCGTGTGTACAGTGTTCACAGTGTGCGTGTGTACAGTGTGTACAATGTACAGTGTGTACAGTGAGGGGCCTCACACTGCAGGTGCCAGGCCCGCCAGATCGCGTTGTTGAGGCGGATTTTGTCCTTCCACAGCAGACGCAGCCCCTTGAACGTCTTCCACTTGGGAGACACGAGCTTGCCGCTGGGACACACGGAGACACACGGGGAGACACACGCGGAGACATGGAGACACGGGGAGACACACGGGGACAGACACCAGCTTGCCGCTGGGACACGCGGAGACACAGGGAGACACACGGGGACAGACACCAGCTTGCCGCTGGGACACGCGGAGACACGGGGACAGAGACACAAGGAGACACAAGGAGACACAGGGAGACACCAGCTGGCCGCTGGGACACGCGGAGACACGGAGACACGGGGACAGAGACACGAGGAGACACATGGAGACACCAACTTGCCGCTGGGACACGCGGAGACACGGGGAGACACACGGGGACACATGGAGACACAGGGAGACACACGGAGACACAGGGAGACACAGAGAGACACAGAGACACCCACTTGCCGCTGGGACACGCGGAGACACGCGGAGACACGCGGAGACACACGGAGACAGAGACACCAACTTGCCGCTGGGACACGCGGACACAGAGAGACACACGCGGAGACAGGGAGACAGAGACACCAACTTGCCGCTGGGACACGCGGAGACACGCGGAGACACACGGAGACACACGGAGACACCAACTTGCCGCTGGGACACGCGGAGACACACGGAGACACACGGAGACACCAACTTGCCGCTGGGACACGCGGACACAGAGAGACACACGCGGAGACAGGGAGACAGAGACACCAACTTGCCGCTGGGACACGCGGACACAGAGAGACACACGCGGAGACAGGGAGACAGAGACACCAACTTGCCGCTGGGACACGCGGAGACACACGGAGACACCAACTTGCCGCTGGGACACGCGGACACAGAGAGACACACGCGGAGACAGGGAGACAGAGACACCAACTTGCCGCTGGGACACGCGGAGACACACGGAGACAGAGACACCAACTTGCCGCTGGGACACGCAGAGACACACGCGGGGAAAGGGAGACAGAGACACCAACTTGCCGCTGGGACACGCGGAGACACACGGAGACAGAGACACCAACTTGCCGCTGGGACACGCGGACACAGAGAGACACACGCGGAGACAGGGAGACAGAGACACCAACTTGCCGCTGGGACACGCGGAGACACGCGGAGACACACGGAGACACACGGAGACAGGGAGACACCAACTTGCCGCTGGGACACGCAGAGACACACGGAGACACACGGAGACACGCGGAGACACACGGAGACACATGGAGACAGGGAGACAGAGACACCAACTTGCCGCTGGGACACGCAGAGACACGCGGAGACACACGGAGACACACGGAGACAGGGAGACAGAGACACCAACTTGCCGCTGGGACACGCGGAGACACACGGAGACACACGGAGACAGGGAGACAGAGACACCAACTTGCCGCTGGGACACGCAGAGACACACGGAGACACACGGAGACACACGCGGGGAAAGGGAGACAGAGACACCAACTTGCCGCTGGGACACGCGGAGACACACGGAGACACACGGAGACAGGGAGACAGAGACACCAACTTGCCGCTGGGACACGCAGAGACACACGGAAACAGGGAGACAGAGACACCAACTTGCCGCTGGGACACGCGGAGACACACGGAGACACACGGAGACAGGGAGACAGAGACACCAACTTGCCGCTGGGACACGCAGAGACACACGGAGACAGGGAGACAGAGACACCAACTTGCCGCTGGGACACGCGGAGACACACGGAGACACACGGAGACAGGGAGACAGAGACACCAACTTGCCGCTGGGACACGCAGAGACACACGGAAACAGGGAGACAGAGACACCAACTTGCCGCTGGGACACGCGGAGACACACGGAGACACACGAGGACAGGGAGACAGAGACACCAACTTGCCGCTGGGACACGCAGAGACACACGGAGACAGGGAGACAGAGACACCAACTTGCCGCTGGGACACGCGGAGACACACGGAGACACACGGAGACAGGGAGACAGAGACACCAACTTGCCGCTGGGACACGCGGAGACACACGGAGACAGGGAGACAGAGACACCAACTTGCCGCT